GATCGAACTGTTTTTATACAACTATCAAATTGGGTTTTAACATATGCATAAAATTCACGGAATATGGCAGATATTTCATTTCTTGATTTAAACAAGTAAACCCAAGTTGCACGGGAATAATCGTCAACAAACGTAATAAAGTACTTAAAACCATTTATTGAAGTAAATGGACAAGGTCCCCAGACATCTGAATGAATTAACTGAAATAAAGTACTGACACGTTTAGATTCTTTAGGGGGGTAAGGACGACGGGTGTGTTTCCCTAACTGACATGACTCACAAAAAAACTCATGAAAAGGTGAAAAATCAGGTCTAAGTTGCTTGAGAACAGGTAACGAAGGATGACCAAGTTGACAATGAGCTTCACGAACACTAGATTCACTTAAGTATGCCGAAGGAGACTGTGGAGCAGAGAAGCGATAGAGACCTTGAGACTCAAAACCTGTGCCAATCAACCGGTTCGTCCCTAGTTCCTGGAAAACACAATGTGTAGGAAGGAAAGTTACTGAACAATTGTGCTTCTTGGTAAGCTGACTAACAGATATAAGGCTATCTGGAAAGGCAGGAACATAAAAAACAGATGACAAGTTTAGGTTTGGTAAATTATTGGTGGATCCTATGCCCATAATTTTACAGGAAGAACCATTAGCAAGTTTGACAGGGTTGTGAGTTATACTAGTATCTAGGTTGAGTATGAGGTTTTTGTTCCCAGTCATATGATCTGTAGCACCAGAATCAATAATCCAGGATGATGAGCAAGCAGAAAGACAAGTTGAAGATATACCTGAGTGTGCTGTATTAGCACGAGGAGTGGATGCTACCTGTCCAGAAGCTTCAGGGTAAACATCTATTGTATCATCAATGGATGCTATTTGAGCACGAGGAGGACGCGGGAGTGGATAAGATCCAGGCAGTCGGTTTGGACAATTATACTTGGTGTGTCCATATTCTTTGCAGTAATGACACTGGATCTTCTTATTGGGATCATTCTTCCGATTCACTACTTTTCCATTATTTCGGGCATTAAAAGCTGTAAACGCAGATGCATTTGTGCTAGTAGATGATTGTGTTACTGAACTGTCCGGATACATTTCTCGTGCAAGATGGTATGTCGAGGCTAGAGATTGAGAGGCAGTGTGACTCGGGAGCAAAGGACGAGAATTTGAGTACTTGGGAGATAGCCCTGAAATAAACGTCATCACGTGCATTTTTGCTAACCGCTCCTCCTGAACTTTGACATCTGGAGTTACCGGGAAAAGAACACGCAGCTCCTCTGCTAATTTGGACTGCCTTGTATAATATTCGGTAAGGTCCGAGTCACCTTGCTCACATCTGAAATAAGATCCAAACACAGAGTATGTGTGGGAAATAGATTCTTTTGCTGAGAAGGAGGACTGCAAGTGTTCCCACATCTTCTTTGTGGTAGGATAATTTTGAGCAATACTCAAAACTTGAGGTTCCATAGCGTTCCACAAAGCCATTCTGATTCCACTATCATCAAGCTTCCATTCTCGGGTTTTAGGATCAGGAGGATCTTGGTTCAGATATGCATCTTTATCCAAGCTTTCAAGGCCGGTCTGAACGAACAGACTCCATTGTGCCCAATTAGTTGAGTTTAGCTTGACTGGTATTTTCAGAGCAGCAGAATAATTGATAATTCCGGGGACTATAGCATCAGTTGGTTTTGCACCATCTCCCATTTTATAAAATAAGAGATGATTCTGGATAGAAGGAAGCTAGGGATCTGTTTTGACAAAGTTGGACTGTTAACGGGTGAAAGCTGATCTAGGGTTTCACGGGTGACAGGTGACGGCATATAGGATTAGGGAAGCATCCTGAGCATAGGCTCTGATACCATGTAAACAGAGAAGTATGGAAATGTTTTCTGTATTCCCAATAAACAAAGAATGCCGAATATATATACAGGAGTATAATAGCTAATCTAGGAAAGTGTATATTCTATACTTAATGATTAGAATCTACATTAATTATGCATATATACTGCTGTAGCAGATCTCTAACAGAATCTACTTTGATTGACCATATATACTGCTGGAATATCTTTAACAACGATTTTGTTCAAATGCGATTTTGTATACGAGTTGAATCGTTTTAGCGATTTGAATCGTAAAATCGTACGATTTTACGATTCAAATCGCGATTTTAACAACCTTGGTTGCAGCAGCCAATTTTTGGCTGTCGTCACAGTCAATATGTGGTTTGGCATTGTCTTGCTGAATTATTATGTGTTTACCTCTCCATGCTGATCATTTCTGCTTGATTGTTGGCAATACTTTTTCAACCATAAATTGTTTGATTACCTCTCTTGTGATACTTGTGATTGGCTTAGTAAGCAATGTCCCCCTTTCCCTATTTTCGTTGTTTCTCTTTGTTGTGTCTTGAAAAGTGAAAGGGAAAATCTCAATCTTGCCATCCCATATAGTCTCCCCATCATCTGCTATTGTAGGTCTCCCAACTACAGCCAAGAACAATAGAACATCACTTTAGGAATAAACCGTTTACTTTGAACTGCTCTATAGGGGTCTGTTTCATCTGGGAGCATATAGACATGCTCATTTTCCTTGGTTAAGTTAAACCATGTTTCATCTCTATGCACATACTCATAGAAATCATGGAAGGTTAGGTTGGATAAAACTGAATGAGGAAGTAAATGACTTAAACAGGATTGCATCCTTAACCTTTTACATTTGCTTCACTGCATTTGAGTGTCTCTTTATATCATTCCTCTTCACACACCTATGAACGGAAGATCTTGATGAATGCACTTCAACCGCCAATGATCTCAGTGTGCTTCTTCTGTAAATAGGAGTATCTTTTATCTTTTGAAGGTCAAGTTCAACTCTTTTTCTGCCAACATTTCCTCTTTTTTGGACATCGCATCTATATCTTGTCCTGCTTGTAGTTGTTTCTGCACTTTCTGCCATATTGTAGCCAATGGGCGTGTTTGGCATTTAGCGGTTAATGGTTAGCGGATAGCGGATTATGTTAGCGGGTTGTAAATAGTGGATTCAATCAGCGGGTTTGACTAGCGGAATAAGTTGGCGGGTTGTCAGAAGTCGTTTGGTACTTTAGCTGATTGGCCATAAAATTAATAGAAAACGCCATTTTTCAAACAGCTAACCAAAAAGTCTCCTATTTGCAGCGATTTCATTTCAACGGTTTCGTCCAAAAACGTTATACTGAACCACTATTTACCAAAAAGCGTTTTCACTTATCGTAAACGCCAAAAGTGATCAAGCCGCCATTTTTGGGTTGAAACGCCATTTACCAAACACCCCCAATGCCCGTCTTGAAATGTTAAACTCGGAAGCTATTGCCTAAATAATATCACCTTTAAGTGTTCCATTCACTGACTTGGCTAAAAGCCTCTCAACAACCTTATTTATGTCCACATCATTTAAGACAACATTTTTTCTGCCCATCCCTTCCCTTCTGACTATTTGTCTATGTTGTATTGCAGGTGTTGTGAAGATTGAACTTGATTTTGTGCCTGTGGTGGATGGATATAACTGCAGCTTGTAGAGATATTATAATATTTAGTTTATTATTATGAGATTTGTCCTGATCATAATCTGATTTCCTCCTGATCATAATCTGATTTTCTAGAATCAAGTAGGAGATTTGTATTAATGATAAGATCATGTACATAATTACTCTTTCCTTTATTAAGTTAGCTTAGGCCTATAAATTGTATTTAGCTGTTGTATTTACTATTGATCAAAAAAACTCTATTCTTCAAGTTGGTATCAGAGCCAATTCCGGTTGTGGTTTGGCGGCTTGTTTAGCACTCATGATTAAGGGTAGCTTGTTAAGGGTTTGTTTAGCCCGATTATACACCCCGATATTGTCCAGCCCAGTTCGGGCTGAGGGGGCGTGTTAATGCATTTGTCTCACACTGGAAAGCTATAAAACAATTAAACACTATATAAGGCTTTGAGCTACTCCCCCTAACAGGTTGACCTTTTAGGATGGAACTCGGGCCTTAACACAGCTCATTAGAAGTAAAGCCAGGAGGAAGATGGTCTTCCATTTATGTGAATTTAACTTGATAGGAAGGTGTAGTAATAGTGGTAGATGTGTATTAATTGTATGAGTGAAGTTGTATTTAAGGTTGTAGTGAAGGAAGGAAAATGGAAATGAAATTTAGAATCCCTCCAAAAATTTGGTTGGCCTGATATTTTTAGAATTATTGAGGAGGCGTGTAATTATTTCCCCCCAAAGTTGAACTTTACATTACTATTTCTGTCACTATTTATGTCAGCTCAAGTAGCAGAAAAGCAACTCTCTTTCCGTCATTTTAGATAAAGGGCAATTTTGTCCAGTCAACTTTTTATACTCCCTCTCCTTATTTCTTATGCCAGTCAACATTGGCTAATTAAATAGGGACAGAAGGAGTAATATTTTTCCATTAAGTTTATATCAAAATGAAACTCCGCCATGAGATCATTTTTGGCATCATGTCTGGAAGGTATTGCGGTAGGCGCGTGACGGCCAACAGTATCACTTAGTCACATTACATAACACGAATCGAAATACGAATATAGTTACAGCTAGGTCATCACTCGTAAGCAATGTGTCATCCCTCTGTCTAGGGGTGGTGTCAAATATGAAATACTTGAGGCAACCTTAGCATTCTTATCACCACACCAAGATTTCTAGATGTTGATGATGATATAAATATGGAAGAACATTTTTGAGGAGACTACTAAAATACTGTACAATTGCATTGGAATCTTGAGGCAAACACAATAAGGAAAAGGGGAGGATAAAGTCCATGAAGAAAATGTATATTTATCATCAATAAATGAAGTGTGCAAGGCTGCAAGCTATGGGTAAAAAGAGATCTATAGGGACTCAATGAGTGAAATACTCAAACTTGGAAATAGAGCAAAAATGTATCACAAAACTTATTCATATAAGCATGCGTCACTACTCCTGGCTAATGAGTATAATGTACATTTACATCACAGAAAGCTCACCAGATCCATTGCATTGGCATCCAAAAATTCGAATGCTGAAAGAATTTCCCCAAGCTTCTTTTTCGCTTCCAACAAGAGTTTCTATGATGAGGAGAACCGTTAAAGCAAAATATAACTAAGACAGTAACATAAGTCTATACGAAACGTAGAGGAAATAGCGCAGTTCATGTCATTCAATTTTCAAAGTAGTTATAATAAGAAAATGTCATAATTTTCATGTCTAAATTAAACAGATATATCTAGAAATGAAATACTTTATTCCAGATATGACTATAGTTGCAAACTTATCTAAAGCTGAACAAAAAGTCACTCACAAATAGATGTTTATTTTGGAGATATAAAATCATTTAGAGTGAATGCTACAAGATAGTCATATACAAGCTACCTTTGTACTTCAGCCAACTCAGTAACTCACCAATAAAGGACAACAATTTCTCGAAAGAAGTTAGTGATATATTAATTTAAATCACTTGGCTAATTGAATTTCTGGACGACATCTCTAATTACCTGGCAGCTGGCATAATCATTGCAAGCAAGAAAGCATAATTTTACTGAAGACAGCTTTGGAGGAGTAAGTATGGAAACCTTAGTTATGATCCCTAGGGATCCTTCACTTCCTATATGATTAAACCACAGGAAGGAATGAAACATAATCACTTGTGGGAATAAACAAATCCAGATGTGGAAGAGGAATACAGGATTAACTATGTTCACCAATAAATAAATGCTTCAAGTCATATCCAGTATTATCTTTTCGTAAAGTTCCAAGCATGTCAAGCACAGTGCCATTTGGTAAAATAGCTTCAACACCTGAAGATTAGATGAATATGAAGTAATTTAAACATGTGGAAACAGAAACTAAATTATGCATGGGTTTGTAGAGTCAAAACTTGTGTCCAATTGATAATCCCTACCAAGACCTAAAATAGAATTAACCTTTTAACCTTGCTCGAATCTGTGTTGAAATGGCATAACCAGGTTGGAGAAAACTAGAGTAGGGAATGATAAAATTCATGTTTTCCAGAAAGTCATTTATGAGCAAGTATCCGATTACAGCTCTTTTGTAGTCATCTTGGGCATCTAAAATTCTAAATTGATGACTACTATTAGAGGTGCCCAGTGGGGGTGAAGCAATCTGAGAAGAATGGAAAAAGCAGATTCAGAGAAGGGTAAACACCTTGCAGTCACAGCTGGTGATCCTCTTTCAGTTATAGGAACGATGTTTGATAAGATTTTTCAGGAATCCACTAAGAGGAATTGATTATTATAGGCTGATATCTACCCTAGTAATGCAACCCAAGATCCAATGTACGAAGAATGATTATGACTGCCTCACATTTCTGTTATTCTGTATCAAACAATAGGCGGCAATTAGTTACACGCCAGTTCAAGTTTGGGGATCTAATCAACTAGATAATAAAGATGAATCTTATAATGTTGTGTTCCATTCAACTCTGATGTCTAGCCCCATGGCCTCACGAATCTGATGGAGACTGTGCCTGAAGAATTCCTATTGCTAACTGAGAAAGAACAGCTGTTCAATTTGCTGAAGCTTGTCAAGACTTGTGGATGATAACAAAGAGCATTTTCAGCAGACAATCTTTATGAAGAAGAACCAGAAACTCAAAGGTGATTGTCATATGCTATTGAAGATTTGAAGCCAAGAAAAATTATTGTTAATCAGATGAAATCCTTTGATGAAATAAAGCAAAATGGCCCACTAAACTGAATGTGCTTCTTTATTATGAAGTAGCAGTCAGTCCATGCAATTTTCGACGCGATTTTCACTATGAGTCATTCGGAAACAATCTCTTTGTGCTTTAGTACAAAGGGTAAGACTGCGTACATCTGATCCCCCTTACTCCACTGAAGGTGGGAGTGCAGCACTAGGGTAATGATGATGATGATGATAATGATGATGATGATGAAATCCTTTGATGAGAAGATATCCAAAAATAGTACACCCTTTAGACTTCATTCATGTTGAACCTTGAAAAAGGAAAGTCAAACGAAAGGATTACTCCAAGGCCATCCCCAATGCGTTTGCTCAAACTTGCTGAGTGATTTAAGTTTTTCTGAGCTCCTTTATGTCTGACTTTCAGTTTGATACGCCTTTCTTTCATTAATTGCCTGACTAAGAGCTATTTTAGGTTGTTAAGGATGATCCTAGAAGCTCTTTGATGAAAGGAAACCTTGATGCAATAGTTGGAGTTGCTGCCATGTAACTGGAAGTGACAGGTTCAAGCTGTGGAATCAGTCTCTTGCACATGCAAGGTAAGGCTGCCTATATTAGATGCACTAAGTAGGTCCAGCTCTTCCTGGAACCTACATATTGCAGGAGCTCTAGTACTACCCGGTTCCCCTTTCAAGTCCTTTATGCAGAACCAGTAAGTTGTTTTATTCAATATATGTTTCAAGAAATTCTGTTTCTCTAAGATTATTATCGGGGTCTCTAAGCTTTTTGCTCATTGATAAATTTTCCTTTTTGTTAGAAAAAACTTTAACATGAAAGTTCACTAAACAAGACACATAAATGTAGAGGCCAGTAACTCACCAAGAACATTCCCATGGAGTGAACCATACCGAAGAAGTCGCAATCCACCGGCATTAGTTGAGACGTTTCCACCAATTTGACAGCTTCCTTTAGCTCCTAGATCAAGTGGCATAACAAACCTAACAGAAGAGAGAGCTCATCTTTTTAGAATGGCAGATGATTAAACAAGGACTCATCCAACGCCATTACAAATCTTGTGGAAGAAGGCAAGATGAAAAAAAATAGAACATGTATAAAAGATGAACTTAAGGACATTCTAAGAAGTATGAGCCTATGAGGAATATACCAAAGAGAAAACCCATGACACACGCACTCAAGCAAGGTTCTATCTCAAAAATCATTGGAGTGTGCTTGACCAGGCAATTTTCTGATTTATCTCATAGAGATCATACTGTTTTTCAGAGGAATATGTATGGTATTTGGTGAACTGCACTTGATAGTAATGGTGATGGAGGCATGGAGCACATCAAGGAAGCTTTTTCTCAATGAGGATAACAGACAGAATAGATGTATAAACAAATGATAGAAAAATAACCAACACTAGAATGCCTAAGTTATCAACCTTCAAGGTTGGTGAGAGTAAATTACCCTTGGTTATCTAGGAACGAAATCAGGTTTTCCAGAATGCAGCCAGCTTCACATACCAGTATACCACTAACCTGCAAAGGTTACAAGCAGTAATCAGATCCTACAATATTAGGAATCTTATGATCAAATATGTAGGTGTAGACTTTGATGAGACAAATAGATCATGCCTGAAAGAATTGGCCTTTCTCAAATTAATCACTCACAATAAAAAGGTAATGAATCTAAAAAGTTGATTTACCTTGTCAAATGAAATTATTCTATTCATGGAGCCAAGATTGATAACCACCTGTGAGGTTTTCAAATACAAAAAGTTACAATGTTACTAAAATACTCCAACCTAATAAGCTATGGCCACAATAGGGTTTACAATCCAGGGGCTCCTAAATTTTAACATAATACATCTTTAATAAATAATGAACAACTGCGATGTTCACCTGTTTCCATAATGCATCTCACTAATAGCCCCCACCACCACCATAACAGTAATAGGTGAAATAACATTATATTCGATCTAGATCAGTCCATTATTCCATGTGAGGATTTTTAAGTGCTGTTGTGAAAATTAAAAATAGTAACACTATCACCAACAAAGTAGTGAGGATGAGCTGTTCCGTAGATGTCGTCAGTTTCTTTTTTCAACTCGCAAAGGATAACCAATATTTATCTGCAGTAACAGAGGGGGGGGTGACAGCATCTACTGTTCTGATTACTATTCCCTAGACCCCCCACCCACCTGCCCACCCTGTTTGCTTCACAAGGATCAAGGCAGGACAAGTTTCTTTAAAACTTTGAGGTAACGGATTCTAGGAAAACATTCATTTTATCTCAAAAATTGAACTCCCCGTATCATAAATTGCCAGTCTGATGATATTGTCCATGAGTACAACACAAGTGAATGCACTAATGGAGTAATGGGACACATGGATGAGGGAGTATAATTTAACTAGACATCATCATAGTGCCTCATAATAAATCATTCCTGTTTGCTATTTTCATGTCTTCAAGTCTGTATTTTAAATCATAACTGGCTAATAATCATGTGGGTCAAGGCAGGATTGACTATGAGTACAACAAAGGTGAAAGCACTAATGGGACACGTAGACAAGGAAGTATAATTTAACTAGGCATCGCCATATTGCCACATAATATATCATTCTAGATTGCTCTTTTCATGTCTTCAAGAAAATAGTCTGTATTTGAAATCAGAACTGGCTAGGTGATCCATCAAGAACGCTATAGCATCTACTGACATGGGTTATGGGTACACTCTCAAGGGTTCTAATAAACAAACATGAGTCTTACCTCATCAAACACGGGAACACTCCCTCCCACAAGACCTGTATTTCCACCTTGAGGAACAACAGCAAGGCATCTGGTATTGCAATGTTTAAGAATCTGAGATACCTATACAAGCCCATGACAAGCACTAAGGCTGGAGATATATATATATATACACACATTTCATCCAGCAAGTAACTAAAGCCTAACGAAAGAAAGTCAACCTCCTTGGTACTTCTAGGCTGGAGCATAAGCTTACTTGCGCCCTTGTATTTATGCAACCAATCCATGTTTACAGCATTAAGTGTGTCCTCATCTTCAACCACACCGCTTTCTCCTGATATCTTCTTGAAATGGCTAATGTCATCTGAGTTGATTGTTGAAAATTTTGGGTTCCTGTGGATTACAGTTGATTCTGATGAAAAACTTCTAGACTGTACACTGCCACGCTTCCAACAATTTGTACCCAGGTAATATACTGAATGACAATGTGTGTGGTTGTTTTCTTGGTAATTCACAACATAAGGATTTAGTGATCCAAAACGTCTGACAAAATCATAGATACAACCTGTAACCCAGTACATACAAGATATAGTTAATAGTTATGCAACAAACATTATACCCCCCATCTGAGCACCACTCCTATTTTCCATAAGTATTCCACTTAAAATTGTAAACAGTATGGTAGCTTCTTGTTTTTAGCATTGGATGTTTAGCTTCTTGCTTTTAGCAAATGGATAAATGAATTTGATTTTTTCAATCTAGGAGACTCACCTGAAAGATAGACTATATGAAAATTGCGGATAGGTCAAGAGTGATTGAAAATTATCTGTCTAAGACTTAAAATATTTAATCTTTTTAACTTAAAAATATTATTTAATTTTATTAAACTAATTAGCAATAAAATAAATAAAACTAAAGAAATCAAAATATATGATACTTTAGAGTTTAGGCCTTTGATGGATAGTTTCAATCACTCAAGCCCTAAACGGATAGATTTTATCTTTGAGGTCTTTGATTGATGATAAAGTCTTGAATTGAAAACTTTTCTGAAATGGTGATGTCCTCATAAACATTATTTAATTCACCAAGTGCCCCTAATCCATCGACTTCCTAGCTTGGCCAATCATTTTAACTACTTCGTATATTTCTTCTTTGAGTGTGCGTGCGAGAGATAAAAAAGACTACCTCCGAAGTCCCAACAAATTTACAGAACTACAGCCATCTATGGCATTAACTCCGGAAAATCATAACAAATTTAGAGAAAAGTTGAGCTGGCTATATTTTGTATCGGAAAGTACTGCAAGGTAGCCGTACCTGAAACTCGGCAACAGGGATAATTCATGAAATGACGATGTGATTGTCGATCAAAGAGTTTCCTGGAGCACCATTTCAGCATATGACTGGTAGCTCTCCAGTTCTCCATGATCTCCACAAAAAATCAAATTGAAAGAGAAAAGTTGATCAGCAAGCAACCCATGATAAAAAAAGTTGTATCTTAATTACACCATAAATCTTTCACAAAATATAATTAAATATTAAGTAGTAATTTTCTACCCTTAATTAATTTAATTAATTAATTGATCCGCTTACTTAACTCTATCGTGATATCATTTTTGGTAGGATGTCTGTCTCACTATAAGCGATGTGTCATCCCTCCGCTTGGGATGGTGTAAAATATGCAAGGGCGTGCTACACTTCATAGGCCTGGATGTGCTGATAAGAATGCTAAGGTTGTTAGGTCGTCGTCCGGAAGCAACGCGCCACTCCAATGCTTGGGAATGGTGTCAAATAGGCAAAGGCATGGTGGGGGGTCGATGTGGTGTGAATAAGAGAAGACAGAGTGATAGATTGCTTTTTGAGGCGTGGAATGTTGGCTCTCTTACGGGAAGATCATTTGAGATAGTCGAGTTTATAAAGAGGAGGAATATCAGCATAATGTGCATGTAAGAAAGTAAGTGGATTGGTGAAAAGGCACGTGAGATTAATCCCGGAGGTTTTAAGTTGTGATATTCGGTGAGAGAGATGGAAAAAAAATGTGTAAGCATTATGGTTGTGCATGATTATGTTGAGGGTGTGGTGGACGTCTTTAGGAAGAACGACCGCATCATGAGCATTAAGTTGGTAATTGGAGATGAGATCACGTTCATGGTAAGTGCCTATGCACCACAAGTGGGATTAGATGCATCTATCACTCAATAATTTTGGGAAGATCTTGAGGAAGTGGTGCAACGAGTGCCAAGGGGAGAGAAGCTGGTCATAGGAGGCAATCTCAACGGGCATGGGGGCCCAAGTCATGATAATTTTGAGAGTATCCATGGCGGACATGGTTTTGGCACTAGAAATGATGTGCGGGGAAGAATATTCTGGATTTTGCATTAACATATGAGTTGGCTGTAATGAATACTTGGTTTACGAAAAGAGACTCTCACCTTGTGACCTATAGAAGTGGAGCTAGTAGTACCCAAATTGACTACTTTTTAGTACGGACGACTTGGAGAACTAGCTACACGGATTGTAAGTTTATCCCATGTGAGAGTGTTGTCACTCAGCATAGGATGCTTGTGCTTGATTTTCAAGGTAAGAAGAGAAGGTGGATTAAGGTACAAGTGGAGCCAAAGGTAAAGTGGTGGGGGCTCGAGGGAGATCTCCAACAAAGTCTTGCACCCAAAATGTTGGAGGAAGATGTATGGTCTATTGATAATGATGCACATGTGGGTGACGTGTGGTTATCAATGGAGTCCACCATTAATAAAGTGGCGAAAGAGATACTTGAAGAATTTTAAGGATGTCTGGCACCAAAAAATGACACATCTTGGTGGAATGATGAGGTGAAACAAGCAATAAGGACCAAAAGAGAATGCTACAAAAAATTGGGCAAGAGTTAGAGCAACGAGAACATAGAGGAGTACAAGGAGGTTAGAAGAAGAGCAAAGAACGCTATAAAGGAAGCAAGAGGGAAAGTTAACAAGGAAATGTATGTAAAATTGGACTCTAAGGAAGGAGAAAAAGATATTTACATACTTGCTCGCCTTCGTGATCGTAGGACCCAAGATATCGAAAAAGTTATGTGTGTGAAAGATGTCGATCAAAGGGTACTAATGGAGGACAATGAAATAAAAGAGAGGTGGAGGTCATATTTTGATACATTGTTGAACCGAAATAAAGTGTAAGGTATTGATGATCTTACTATACCGGAGTGTATGGTAAATCGGGACTTTGTGAGAAGGATTCAAATGACAGAAGTTAAAGAGACTCTGAAAAAATGGGGCGGAAGAAAGCAGTGGGCCCAGGTGGCATACCGAGCGAGGCTTGGAGAAGTTTAGGAGAGAAAGGCATCAAGTGGCTAACACATTTTTTCAACATGATTTGGAGGAACAACAAAATGTCGGTGAATTGGCGGAAGAGTACTCTCATTCCCCTGTTTAAAAATAAGGGTGATGTACAAGAATGTGTCAACTATCGAGGGATTAAGCTTATGAGTCACGTCATGAAACTTTGAGAGCGAGTGATTGAGCAAAGATTTCGAAAAAGTGTGAAAATTTTGGAGAACCAGTTTGGTTTTATGCCTGGACGCTCAACAACTGAGCCCATTCACCTTCTTAGACAAGTTGTGGAAATGTATAGAGACACTAAAAAGGATCTGCATTTGGTGTTCATTGACTTAGAAAAAGCATATGATAGGATACATCGAGAAGTTCTTTGGAGGGCCTTAACTAGAAAAGGCAAATCTCGTAAGTATATCAATATCATCATGAATATGTATGAGGCTTGTACTACAAGTGTATGTACTAATGTAGAGAGGACCGCAGAGTTCTCCATTACTATCGGAGCGCACCAAGGATCGGCTCTTAGTCCTTTCTTATTTGTTATAGCTAGTCATGGATGAACCTACGAAGTCAATTCAAGAAGATATACTATGGTGCATGATCTTTGCAGACGATATTCTATTGATTGATGAGACACAATTGGGTGTTATAGCAAAGTTGGAAGTTTGACGACAAACATTGGAGACCAAAGATTTCAGACTGAGCCAAATCAAGACTGAGTATATGGAGTGCAAGTTTGGTGGAGGTAGAAATAGTAGCAACGGTGGGATTACTCTTGATGGTAAGAAGATACCGGTGTGTGATATGTTCCTGTTAAGGTTTATTCCTTCAATCCGGGGGCCCAACACGTAATCCAAGGATTTCGAGTGGAAGAGTGTTAGTGAATATCAAGAGCAAGCAAGTAAAGATGGGCTTATGTACCTGTAGCAGTGGGTCGTATCTTATTAAGTGTTAATAAGGGTCCGTATACCACACACTATCGCTACTTGGCCTGAGGTCGATCGTCTTCCTCACTAAGTAAGAGTTGAGGATAAAGCTAGAATGTTATAATGCTAGAGAGAATAAGTTGGCAACCCTTTACAATGAAATAAATGCTACTCCCTCCGTCCCAATTTGATGATCCCATTTCTTTTGGGCTCAAAGATTAAGGCAGTGGTTGAAAAGGTAAAAGTTGTGGTTGAGATTTGAGTAGAAAAAGGTGAAATGATGTGGACCACATATTTCTTTCCAAAAAGGGAAATGGGACTATCAATAATTTGGGACGACCCAGAAAGGAAATACGGGATCATCAAATTGGGACGGAGGGAGTACTATTTATACTACCAAGGGGTAGGTAGACGTGCTGACGTGTAGGGCTGTGGATGGCTAGGCTCCCAACTACCAAATCTTCAGCATTAAATGCGCATCCCGCCAATATCTTGGTTTCCCGCCAAGGTTTGGGACGAGCATCCCCCTAGTCTTGGGCCTTCTCTTGGCGATGGAACAAGGGGCAGAGCCGAGCGTCTTCTGCGTATCATTCATGTGTGGATGCTGGAGTGCAATGGATAACCTTCATGGCAAAAGCCCATGAGGCCGAACATCCTCTAATGAGACGGACGTCGAGGGGTGCCTTGGGCTGTTGCAGATAACTGCCCCTAGTGGGCTTCGAAGCCTGGCGACGAGCGTCTGATGCTCCTTCCCTGCTGGGCCTTGAGGCTCCTCGTTTAAAGGGATAATGGGCCGACCCCTGGTTGGGCCATTAACCCAACAATTCTGTTACTTAGGCTCCATAATTTAGAAGGATGGTGAATTAGATGGAGATGTATCCCATAGAATCAGAGCTCGATAGATGAAATGGAAGAGTGCATCAGGAATCATGTAAGCTCTTCACCAAGCACTTATAATTATTTGTTAAGCGGGCTTCTAATTCCTTGACCATTGTACGCTCGATAGCAATTAAGCTTTCAGAATGTATGGAATTAGAAGTGCATGTCTCGAACTAATCAGAAGATTCAATGCATTGATTTATAGACAATGACGATGAGTTCGAGTGGGCATCCATTTTGATTGTCAGATATGGATCGTTAACGTGTTGTTGATTGAATTGTTTGCAAGTTTATGGACCTTAGTGTGAAATGATGACGAGCTTTGAGTTGAAAATTTTCTCCTTGGGTCTTTGACATGTGTCACTTGTAAACCTTGTGATTTTTGCCTTTCTGATTTTATTGATTAATTGAAGTGTTGACCATTTGAAAAGCAATTAATTATTTTTTAATCACAAGGATGACTTTTGGATGCTTTGACCGGAGTGTTGACCTTTGGGTTTGGAGTTTGGACCTCAAAATTTGAAATGGCCTAAAAAAACCTACCTCTTAAAATGGATAGTGGGAAAAGTGTACTTTTTCAAGTGAAGTGAAAAGTAAGTTTCTTATCTTTTCCCACACCTAAACTCTAAGGAAGTTTTTGAGCCTATATATATGAAACACTCTCACCATAGAAGTAAAAAGAGAAGGAGAAGAGCGGAGCTCTCGCACATATGGGATTCTGACTTGTAATTTCATAAGTAAACAGAACTGTGCCACCAAAAATGATCATACAAAATTGTCATATAATTTAGGTTGATTGTGTGAAAACCCCTTGATATGTAGGTTATGCGCATTATCCCCATATAGTTCTAAAAGTACATCAAAATGTCATGTACGTGTTGTGACAGTGAGTCATACATGTGTTGCTCTCTAATAATAATTTTAATGATTGGACAAAATAAAAGTCTTTATTGTTTTTAACATTTAGATATCTAGACAAATATAGATGCAAGTTTACTTAACCCTAAAACACATATTTTCTTGGTGAATATTTGAAATGTGTGATCAACTTTAATATATGAAATTTGGAGCATTGTTTGAATCATGATGGGATCATGCCTGTCATTCATGATTAACCAAATTAATATGTTTTAAAAATCCTCTATAGTTATTAAATTAAATCACATATGAGAAGTACAAACACCACCCGGGGCAACGCCCGGGTTCAACACTAGTATTGAAACTATGGTATTACAGACAATCATGTTGTGAGCACTATACAGATAAGAGGGCGGGCTTCTACATTAACTTAAGAAGAACTGAAGTCTCTTTTTAATCTAACAATAACATATATATAAGAATAATATAGAAGATTTGAACTTGAATTA